GTAGTCCCAGTTGCTCAGTAGGCTGAAGTGGGAGCATCCCTTAAGATCCGGAGTTTGAGCCTGCAGTGAGCTATGATCGTCCCACAGCACTCCAGTCTGGGCGACAGAATGAGACCCTATCTCTTACAATAATAAAAATAATTTTAGTGGCTTTGGTGCATAGGACCTGTCTCTGTTGTCTGGTACCTGGCCCTGGGATGATTAGGGCAGGTATAAAGTGACTGAAAGCATGGGAGCCCTTAAAGGAGGTGGTTGGGGTGTGGACTTTGGATTGGTTGGTTTGCATTTGCAAGGCATATTCATGAGTCAGTTATTTGCTAGCTCTAGGAATGGCCTAATCCTAGGAGGGGCAGTCCCTCCAGAGTCATCAAGGCCCGAGATGCCAAAGCATCAGAATAGAGAAAGAAAAAGACAAGGTTAATATAAGTATCTAATATTTTTCTATACATGTGTACAGAGTATGAGGCTTAGTCCATAAGATTGGGAAAGTCAGTTTACTTCAAAATTAAATTAAATCTGACTTGGAGACATGATTGGATTGCAATAATTCCTGCTCAGTGTCTACTGGAACACCCCTTAATTATCCAAACTCCATCTCTGAGGTACATAGCAAAGGCCCCTGGGATTTGGGGAGGTCCCCTTGACCTTCAAGCCACTGTGGTACCCACTGAGATGCTCACTGTCCAGGCTCTCTTGGTTCCTTGGGCCTCACTGGGAAGTTCAGGGAGGTTGCTGTTTCTGCCATATGAACATAAGGATTACAGCACCGGCCAGGAGCCTCCCAGGTGCACTGCACAATCCTTCCTCCAAGGCTTGTGAAGCACATGAGATTGAACTGAAATGAGTTCTGCTGAACACCAGAGGCAGTTTTGAAGGGAAAAATAACAAAAGGCAGCTTGTAGGATACATGTGGAAAGAGAAGAGAGTAGAGTTTATGGGTGGATTAGATTGGCACATTACAAACCCTTGGCTTGTTGATGGCTTAGTGTCCTTTGCCAGAAATAACCTAGACTCATTTCCATACCTACCACCCAAGTACTCTTAAATTTTAGGATGTATAAAAATTACCCGAGGACCTGAAGACCTTGTTATATAACAGATTCCTGAGGCCTCCTTGCCCCTGGTTCTAACTGATCAAGTTGTCTAACATGTACGTTTTTAATAAGCCTTCACCACAGTCTATAGACAAGCGGCTTGCACACAGATAAGACACTTGGACAAACACTTCTCGAATCCCATCTCTGAACCTCAGTTCTCTGTATCATGGGGTGGCCATCAAAACCCACAGGCAGTATTCATGGGGCCCTGGGGCCTTAGACTACAATTCAGATTCTCAGCAACTACTTTATGAGTGATATGGCCTAAGTACTGGCCTGGAATTTAATTATCATGCGTTTAAGTGCTTCTGTGGAAAAGTGAGCTCCAGTTTAATTACAAGTTAACTTTAGAAATAAAACCCACTCTTAAAAAAAACTATCTACACAGGTGGAGAAGGTCTATTTGTTGGTACCTGGTACCAGGACCTGAATTAAGGGCAATAAGAGTGTCCTCTGAGTGGTCACCTCAAAATCAGCTTGTGATAGATAATCTGAAGAGTGATAGGAAAATCCATCTTCAGGAAGCAGCCCAGCACTGGGGTCTGACAGGTTTGACTGGTACCCAGTTGGGTGCATTAATTCACTGATCCTAAGCTTCTGTCCTTGTCCTGTCTTCTCAACTCTTGAAATATCTGCCAGCCCTCAGTACCATTATTTATTTAACATTTCCCTTTAAATGAATGTCCACACACACACTAATTTAAATATTTAAATATTGAAAACAAACCCTTTGTACAGGAGGAAAATATGTGTGTGAAAATTAGAGAGGACCCTGGTTCCAGAAAGCAAGTGATGCTGTCAGATTTAGGAGGCAGGGATCATAAAACCCAGAGCAGAGAGGGCTTGCAGCAGGAAGAGGGCAGGAGAAGAGGGGAAGAGGATGAGACAGCCCAGAGAGAAAGAAAGAACTCTAGCTGGGGAGGGAAAGCTTGATGGGAGGGCACAGAGGGCGACAGATGGGGGATCGCAAGGCCTGCCTGGAGGAGCACCCTGGGCACTGGGAGAGTGTGGGCTGCAAGGACCAGGAGCCAGGAGAGAGCTGCGGGACAACCAAGGCCTGAGGAGGGGAGGGGTCTTAGCAGGGCGACGTGAGATGAATTGTCAGGAGCAGGTGCAGGATGTGACCCCCACAACACTGGGCTGAGGGGGCTGTCTTCCTGGAACTGGGCCTGAGCAAGGTAGTGCTGCCAGCATCCAAGAAGAGAGATGATGTGTTGGCATCTGCATTTTATCCTCAGTGAAATACTGCATTCACATATCCCAAGAAAATATCCGTCACCAGAAGGAGGGTTTCTCAGCTTAGGCAAAGAAGAGTGAGAGGAGCAGAGGGAGCTAATGCTAATCCTGCCCTCTATTCCCAGCACCAGCAGGGGAAGGACTTGCCCTGTTTGGTCCTAGAAAGTAGTCCCGTGAGGGCAGGAACCTGTCCTGTTTCCCACCATCTCCCTACACCAGAGTAGTGTCTGGCACCCAGCAGAGCTCAAAGCACATGTACTGAATGAATGAGTGCCCGAGTGAGCAGTGAAAGCCCCTGCTACCTGTATGGTGAAGATGGCGGAGTCAGACTGCCATCTGAATTCTGACAAGGAGCACCTGCTCAGCTGCCAACCTCACAAGACTTTTTTTGAGTCAGGGTCTCACTCTGTCACCCAGGCTAGAGTGCAGTGGCATGATCACAATGATCACAGTTCACGGCAGCCTGGACCTCCTGGGCTCAGGTGGTCCTTCCACCTCAGCATCCTGAGTAGCTGGGACTACAGATGAGTGCCACCACTGAATTTTTTTTTTTTCTTAAGAGAAGAGGTCTCACTATGTTGCCTAGACTGGTCTCAAACTCCTAGGCTCAAGCACTCCTCTTGCCTTGGCCTCCCAAAATTCTGGGATTATAGGAATGAGCTACTGCGCCCAACCCACAAGATCCTTTTAAACCACCTGTTTAAGGAAGAGATGCTAATGTCAGGGCAGAGCACAGATCCACTCTGCCAGGATGGAGTACCTTACAAAGTGCACATCTCTTTTCTAACTCTAAATATCAGTCTTGGAGAAAAATTCACTTTGAGAACTTTGGCAAAACCAAGCTTGTGAGGCTGCCAGATTAATACTAGGCTTTGGACTACAAACACTATGAAAATAATAGTAATAAAATAGCTAAACATATTGGGTATTTATTCTATACCAAGCTCTTCACTACAGCCTTAACATATAGTATCTGACTTAATCCTGACCATCTGCGAATGTGATCCAGATGAATTCTCGCCTGAATTCACACACTTAAATAAGTAATCATGCTTGAAAACTGGCCACATGTTTAAATGCTATACATACAAATATCAGCCATATTTCTTCTCACTATCTGTACTCAATTCCAACCAAGATATTCCCTCTGCATATATCCCCCCTTAAACTTTAGCAAAGTGGTTAAGGAGCACCAGACTGGGAGACAGGAACCCGGATTTGACTTTTCTTTCTAAAATGTGCCAACTATATAGCTTTACTGACTGCATAGCTTTCAGGAACAAGTCACTCATCTTCTTTGAACCTCAGTTTACTCTGCTGTAACATAGAGGTAGCAGTATTTGCTCAAAGAATGAATGAATCCCCCACCTCACCCCCTTTGCAGTTGTAAAAGAAATCTGTGTAGATGTCAACACTTTGCAAAAATACAAAGCACTATTTGTATTCGAGGGATTATAATTATACAGCCTCAAGTTACTGTTGTGATTATTTTGGTTCTAAAGAAACAGCACTGCCACTTTTTCCTCCTGCTGAGTCCTGACTCAGGATTTGTCCTTCAAAAGAGTCCTAGGGTAGTAACCCTATCTCAGTGAGGACTCCAGGAGGGGTCTGAGAAAGGCCACCCTTGGGGAAGTCAGGCCTGCAGGAGATCAGAGACAAGGAGCCGAGGAGGAAGGAGACATCCATTTTCCTTCTGAGCAAGGGTGGAGAAACGGAAAATTTCCAAGACAGGGAATTCTTTAGGTACTTCTAAGTAAATGACTGTTCCTGGGGACACGAGGACACTTCAACCCATCCTTAGGTTTCCTGAAACGGCAGGTCAGGGCTGGATCTCAGAGCCTGGCACCTTCTCCCAAGCTGGAGGCCAGTCCGCCCTCCAGCGCCCTGGGTTCCTGCATAGCCTCTAGTCACCTCCTGTGTGTGCCCGCTGGGCCAAGATTGCTCGTACTGTTCCCTGAAAAACCCCAGGCACTTCTCTTCAGGGAGGCAGCCTTCACCCAGGAGTGGACAAGGTTATTACCCCAGAGTGACACCTCATCTGTCTGCGCAGAAACTTCAGGCAGCTTAGAAGCTTAACTTCAGTTCTTGACCTCTCTGTTTTCTTTTTCCACTTAAAGGGCAAAAAATCTATTGCTAGGCTATTTTAGGAGAACTTACTGAGAAAAAAAAAAAGAAAGAAGAAAATCAACGTTGGGACGTCACAGCTATTTTTAGCTCTCCTCTCCCTCCAGGACTCCGGCTCTATTTGGGAACCTTGTGTCTTGGTGGGCAGCCAACCTTGTGTTTTTTTCACAGAGTAATCCCCTGGCGTATGGCAAAGGCTCCTGGTCCTTCTCAGTGTTTTTATGGAGAGCTGTTAGTTGGTGACAGCCTACCGTCTGTTCTGGCTTCCTGCTCGCAGGCCCCCAGCAGCTCTGTGTCTTCCATACTCTGCAAAGCACTTCACAGTCAGGACCACTGTCCGGTCGCTCCAGGCATCAGACCCATCAGAACTGAGCAGTGTGTAGCAAATTGATGAGTTCGTATCCAGGTCACATGTTGTTAGGAAGACTTATTTATTATTTGCTAGCCCAGGATTCCTAATTAAGCTCAGAACTGAATTCAAGTGAAGTGATGCCTGACCTGGGATCCTTGCTCCTAATTGCAAACCTAGAAAGTCACATGCACTTTTTTTTTTTTGGAGGCTGTGTTTTATTCATGGCCTGCCGGCCTCCTTCCTGCGCCTGTGGGTGAGGTAGGAAGGCTGTGGTGGAGGGGGAGGGAACAGGCTAGGAGGAGGCAGACTGCAGCTGCCCTTTGTAGACATATTCCAGCGCGGTGGCAATGGTGCGCATGTCCAGCTCGATGCTCGAGCCCAGTTCTCCACATCCCCGATCTCCTTGAGCGCCTGGTTGAAGTTCTCCACCATTCCAATCCACTGGCCCGTCTGCTTGGCAAATTGGGCAGCCTGGACCTGCAGGGTCTTCACCTCGTGGTCCAACTTTCTCTGGTTCATGTATGCCTGGGCCACGCCCACATTGAGGTGGTCCACCAAAGCTTCTGTCAGGCAGGTCACCGCAGTGATAGCCTCTCGTCTCCTCTTCTCCTGCAGCTCCTTACGTTCGTTCTGCTTGGCCTGGTGTTCTTTCATCAGGCGGGACAGCATGGTGGTGTCAGGCTGGGGGATGGGCTCGCCCACGTGCACTTTTAATTCAAGTGGAAGAAGTGACTTTGGTTTTGAGATGAGCCACCATGAAAACAGGGGAAAGGGGCAACCCCCTCAGGTCCCCTCCCACTGTGGGAGCTTTTCTGTCCTCTCAATAAATCCTGCTTTCTTTTTTTCTTTTTTAAATTTTCATTATAGAGATGTGGGGTACAATTCAGGGCTAGGTATATAAACATTGATAATGCAGGTACCCTTGTTGATGAGGAATGCTCCTCCCTCCCCTAGCAGTTTCCCACAACTGCCAATCGCTTTCTTATAGCATTAAGGTCTACTGATGAGTGAGAAATCCTGCTTTCTAAAAGAAGGAAAGAAAGAAAGAAAGAAAGAAAGAAAGAAAGAAAGAAAGAAAGAAAGAAAGAAAGAAAGAAAGAAGGAAAGAAAGAAAGAAAGAAAGAAAGAAAACTGGGAAAGAGAATGAACATAAATATAGTGGCATCGAAATCCTGGCCAGGGCCCAGACCAAGGAGAGCTGAAGTCAGGTCAAGGAGGCCCCCATGGGCAGGGATGAGATTCAGTGTTAGGGAGTCGTCAGGTATAACACAGGGTTCCAACAAAATGGACCACCACAGAGAGACCTGCTATCTAGTAGTCTCACCTACTTCCAGAAAGAGCCATCAATAATGATGTCATGTCCTGCTTCCAGGTTTCCAGTCAGAAGCTGATGGAGTAGATCTTTCTGATAATAGGATCTTGCTCATCAGGTATGAGAGGCCACAGAGTACTCAGAAATGCTGAGTATTTGATCAAAGGGGACAATATTCCTTGGGATACATAAGCAGTTTTTCTTTCCTAAAATGGAAGAGCCTTTTTGCTCCAAATATAAAAATAATGTATGTGCATTGCAAAGAGAGTGAAAACCATCACAAACCCATCACCTAGAAATAATCAGTTACCATTTCCAGGAATAACATCTAGGCAAGAGTTCAGACACAGACATACACAACTATATCTAAACAAGTTCACAGGCTCCTTCTGGGAGAGCTGTACTTTTTTGCTGTGAGACCCAGTCATCTGCTGTCGACTAAGATAAATAAAGGAGCCTAGGTTACCAGCAAGGGCCGGGGGAAGGTTTGCTTTTCTTGACACCATCTACCATCTACCACAGCAGCGGTGAGGAAACCAGTCACTCTCTGGAGGAAGATGCTTTCCCTTGGAAACACCCTGATTCCAACTCAAGCTTGTCCTCAGTTCTGTCTCAGATGAGACCCTGCTCTTTAGCTGGGTGGCAGGAAAGACTTGTATTTAACCTTTCCAGTGATGACTAGGAACTACTCAGTTTACCTACAGTATATTATTTATTGTTCACTATAACTCCGTTAGTTTGTGTAGGCCTCACTTTATAGCTAAGAAACTAAGACCCAGGAAGTTAAGTACCACACCCAAAGTCACACAGCTAGGGCAAAAGCAATCCCAAGTCCATATCCACATAACCCAAAACCTTTAATCATTGTGTTATTCTGACTGCCTCAGCAGTGACAGACATCATGGTTTGTGATGGGTATGTGTCCATTTAAGGGGGCCATGGGATGCTCATATTAAACAGTTTCTGGAATGTCTGTGAGGGTGTTTCTGGATGAGATTAGCATTTGAATCTGTGGAATCAGTTTGCCCTCCTCAGTATGGTAGGGCATTATCCCAACTGTTGAGAGTCTGAATGGAATAAAAAAAGGTGGAGGAAGAAGGAATTCATGCCTTTTTGCTTCCTGCCTATCCACTTCTGTCTTCTGCCCTTGGACTGGGATGTCCACCTTCAGTTTCCCCTTCAGACTCAGACTGTAACTACACCACCGGCTCTCCTGAGTCTCCAGTTTGTTGACTGCAGATATAATGCTCCAACTCGTTCTATCTTTTGCCAGTGGGAGTTTCTTCAGTTTGGCTCCTGAGTCTTTTTGCCACAACCACAGTAGTCTTTAATATTAATAGGTTTCTTGTTTTCCATATGATACTGTATTCTAGGTTTAGCTTATATATTTCCTTCCATAGGCCTGTAATCAGTCATTTCTTCAAGAAACCCTGGTTCCTTTTCATGGGAAACAATTTAGGAACCACAGTCTGAACTTTAGAGATGCTCATTACTCTTGGTGGGTCATAATCTCTAGTCCTTTTTAGTGAACTAGGAAGTATATACTTGTATTATGAAAAAAGTGCACAATGAATTAATATGGATAGCTCAATTTTTTATTTTTTATTTATTTTTTATTTTTTGAGTTGGAATCTCACTCCGTCTCCCAGGCTGGAGTGCAGTGGCATGCTCCCGGCCACCGCAACCTTGATCTGCTAGACTCTGGCGATCCTTTCGCCTCAACCTTCCAAGTAGCTGGAACTACAGGCATGTACCACCACACCCGGCTAATTTTTTTTTTATTATTTATTGTAGAGATGAGGTCTTGCCAAGTTACCCAGGCGGGTCTCGAACCTGCGGGCTCAGGCAATTCACTCACCTCAGCCTCCCAAAGCGTGGGATTACAGGCCGAGCCACTGAGCTCGGCCGGATAACTCAATTTAAATTCAGGACTACAACTAGGTTGAGTTGAGCCATATGATATTGCCGTTTTTGTAAGTCAAAAATAGCTAAATATAGGCAACTTCATTTGGTTCAATCTAATATACTTCATATCCCTTTTTAAAAATTAATGGTAATATACATAATTGTCTTCACCTTGCTTTTTTTAATATAAGAGAATAACTTTTGTTTATTTTCTAGTCATCCTAGACAAAGATCAAATGCTTCTAGATAGCAGTAAAAGGATAAAAATGCAATAGATAATAAGGGTTATTGTAAATTCATTTGGATTTCTATAACAAAGTATCATAGGTTGGGCAGCTTATAAGCAACAGAAATTTCTTCACATTTATTTCTCACAGTTCTGGAAACTGGAAAGTCTAAGGTCATGTCACCAGCAGATTTGGTGACTGGTGAGGGCCTCTGCTTGATTAATAGATGGCACGTTCTCTCTGTATCCTCATATGGTGGAAGCATGAGGGACCTCTCTAGGGGGCCCTTTTATTTATTTATTTATTTTTTTTTTTTGAGTTGGAGTCTCACTCAGTTGCCCAGACTGGAGTGCAGTGGCCGCTCCCGGCCACCGCAGCCTCACCTGCTGGGCTCCGGCAATCCTTCCGCCTCAGCCTTCCAAGTAGCTGGAACTACAGGCATGCGCTACCACGCCTGGCTGATTTTTTGATTTATTGTAGAGATGAGGTCTCACTGCCCAGGCGGGTCTCGAACCCGCGGGCTCAGGCAATCCACTCACCTCAGCCTCCCAAAGGTGCGGGATTACAGGCTGAGCCACCAAGCCCGGCTAGGGGTCCCTTTTATAAGGACAATCATTTCATTCAAGAGGGTTCCGCCATCATGATTTAATCACCTTCCAAAGGTTCCATCTCCTTTGTCATCACATTGATAATTCAGTTTCAACATGCGAATTTGGGAGGGGGACACAAGCATCCAGAGTACAACAATTATTAGCAAATAGTTTTCATAAAAGGAACAAATAAAAATGTGTTTAACTTTACTCAAACTAAGTGAAACACTAATTAAAACTTCCATGAGATGCTATTTTCCACATAATCAGTTTGCTATTAAGTTCATGCAAAAGTAATTTCGGTTTTTGCGTTGTTGATATTTGCCATTCAACATTGGAATACATTCTCAAATAAATGTGGTCATGTTGTATATCATTTTAATGCACATTTCTTACTTTATGTTTTTGCTAGTGACTTATTACTTGCTATTTATTTTACATTTATTTTAGACCATAGAAATGATGTTAGACAGAAAGCAAATTCGAGCGACTTTCTTATTCGAGTTCAAAATGGTTTGTAAAGCAGCAGAGACAACTCACTACATCAATAATGCATTTGGCCCAGGAACTGCTACCAAACATACAGTGGTTGTTCAAGAAGTTTACAAAGGTGATGAGAGCCTTTGAGGAGTGTAGTGGCAGCCATCAGAAGTTTACAATGACCAATTGAAAGAAACCATTGAAGCTGATCCTCTTACAACTACATGAGAAGTTGTCATTGTCGATGGTTTGAACCAAATTGAAAAGGTAAAAAAAGCTCAATAAGTGAGTGCCTCATGAGCAGATAGAAAATCACAAACATAACTGTTTCAAAATGTCTTCTCTTATTCTACACAGCAATGAACAATTTCTTGATTAGATTGTGATGTGCAACGAAAAGTGGATTGTATACAACAACCAGGGACGACCAGCTCTGTGGTTGGACCGAGAAGCAGCTCCAAAGCACTTCCCAAAGTCAAACTTTCACTAGAAAAGGTCAAAGTCACTGTTTGGTGGTCTGCTGCTGGCCTGATCCACTACAGTTTTCTGAATCTCTGCGAAACCATTCCATCTGAGAAGCATGCTCAGCAAATCGATGAGATACACCCAAAACTGAAATGCCTGCAAGCAGCATTGGTCAATAGAAAAGGCCCAAATCTTCTCCGCAACAACACCCAACTGCATATCGCACAACCAACGCTTCAAAAGTTGAACGACTTGGGCTACAAAGTTTTGCCTCATCCGCCATATTCACCTGACCTTTTGCCAACTGATTATTACTTCTTTAAGGATCTTGACAACTTTTTGCAGGGACAATGCTTCCACAACCAGTAGGATACAGAAAATGCTTTCCAAGAGTTTGTCAAATCCCGAAGCACGGATTTTTATGCTACAGGAATAAACAAACTTATTTCTCATTGGCAAAAATGTGTTGATTGTAATGGTTTCTATTTTGATTAATAAAGATGTGATGGAGCCTAGTTATAATGATTTAAAATTCACGATCCAAAACCACCATTACTTTTGCACCAATGTAATATTACTATAGGTAAGAGTGTGAAGAAAGAGTAAGTCTCATACACTGATGTTAGAAATAAAGGTTGGTATGACAATTGGCAATATCTACCGATAATATTGAAGTTGGGGACAGGTGCAGTGGCTCATACCTGTAGTGACAGC